GGGGGGGCCCAAACGAGGCGCCGGGAGGGGCCCGGGTTCGCCAGTGGTGCTGAACATCTCGGGTGGGCTCCACAAGGACTGTGGACCAGGTCAGTGGGGGTCCACCGATGGGGGGTTTGCGGTCCGTTCGAGGGGGGTAGAGGTAGAGGGTTTGGGATCTGTGGGGAGGCACACCATGGTTGCTCACACTTGAAGTAAGCCAAGAAACTCAAACGAAACCAAACTAAACCCAAACGGCTGCAGTGAAACATACATCTATACACAACTAATTGAATCGGAATGGAGGACCTTTGATCGACTCTGAACCGAGCTAAGTCATTTTTTCTAGTGGTCACGAAGGGCTTCATTCGTGTCTTGTGATGCGTCCTCAAGACCCAACCAACCAGTCCCCTACCGTCCCTCCCCCCGTACCTGCCATCCCCCAGGCCGCCGTCTCGTACCCTCCCAGTCTGACCGTCCCAGTGCGTTCGAAGCAGCCCAAGGCCTGAGAAGCGGCAGCGCGACGCAGAAGGAGGTCATCATCCTCGGGGGCTCCGGCACCTCGGGCCGACGCGGACCGTGGGGACTCTGCGGGGATCCGCGGCGGTTTTCCGGTGGGACGCAGGGAGCGAGCATGGGCCCAGTGGGGCCCAGAGCTCGGCCATGTGTTTTTGGGTTGTTTTTTTGTATATGTTGGCCTTTGGCGACAGGAGAGGGCCCACTAGTTCGCTGTCACTTTGTTCCTGGTGCGTTACAACCCCATGTGGGGCAGAACTGACCAATGGGATCCGGTTCCGGTGGCCACCTAGCCGCAACCTTGGGGATCTACAGCAGTAAAACAGGCACTCAAAAAACCGCAGGTGTGCGGCAACCGTTACATGAGAGATCCATAGAGATCCGTTGCTACGATCCGTTACGATCATTTTTGTTGGGAGGAACTCATGGAGTGCCTCAGGTAGACAACCTTTGCTGGTGGCCTACCTGAAGGAGAAGCTGAGCCCGCTGCGAGGGCAAATGCCTGCCCGTCCGTCGCTCCGAGGTCCTTGGAAGTCACCGAATTCCTGGAGCAGTCTGGAGCACTCCTTAGACCCCTTCATCTTGGAGCCCAAACCCAACACGCCCCGAAATCGGCACCTTCCCCCCCCGGTTCCGATCGCCCTCCATCGCTGTGGAGACGCGTCCGCAGTCGCCGTCGTCGCACGAGGATGGAGGGCTTTCGCTCCACTCGATGGGGGCGAACTCAATGGTTGTGGAGTCACCACGCGCGGTGGTACTCCCCGGCAGGCGCGCGGCGCGTTTTCAGGCTGAGAGGGAATGGGTTGATGGAAGAGATGCACATGTGGAGGACTTGGGAAGGAAGGCACAGTTGGTTTTTCCAATACTTTTTTCTAGGTGGTGCATGATGATGCAAGAGGTTGTTCATTCTTTTTGTTGAATGCCAGACATGGGACAGCTCATTCATCGTTTCCTTCCAGTTTGCGGGCTTGGTCCTGCCTGGGCTTGGAAGGAGGTTCTTACCAATTCAGCAGTCAGAAGGAGGTTGCGACTTGCGTACATGTGGAGACGTGTTCTCGAACCTTTGGGTGATTCATTGGTGTTTTCTGGTTCTGTGAGTTGTATGATGTTGTATGACAAAAGACGCTGTGCAAGCACAAACATGGTCTGCCGGGCAAGGCGAGGGAGATGGGATGGAGATGGGGGTGATGGGTTTGAAGTTTGGCGCTCCACCCGGGTCGGCGGGACCGGCGGAGTGTCGCAGGTCTCCCCACAACTTCGAGATCCTCGACCGCGACTTTAAGTTGGGGCTCCCGAGAGGGAGACGAAGACGGTGGGCACGGTGGGAGATGGTGGAGACGGTGGTGGAGAGAGGAGGTGTGTTTGGTCCGCACTTCACGTCGTGGGCTTCTGAATCCCACAGAACTCTGCTCCCGGAGAAACAACGTGGAAAGGAAATTGGGCAAACCCATGGTCTTCCTGTTTGAGCAAAAGGCTCATTGCAGGAACCATCCCCTTTCTTTGGAGCCAACCCCCTTCAAACAGCTTACGGTTCGGTTGCGGTTTTTCCGGTGTCCGCAGCAGGTTTCGATCTTTGTTCAGGTCCAGCCGAGCCCCTCGATGTTTCCGCGGCGTCCAGGGATTCGAACGCAGCGGGTGAAGGATTGGAATGCGTAACGCACAACGGAACCAGACGAAGAGGGTCGTTCGGAACCATGATTCCTTCGCATCGGATCCCTAGGAGCGACCCGGTTGGTTTCTTACGAGGAGGTCGCTCCTCCTTGGTCCTTGCTAGAAAGGATGTATGGAGATGTTGCCTCCCAAGCAGCGAAGAACACATCTTACAATCCGAAGGTTCATGTCTCCCATAAACCGTTCCAAAATTCCATCACCTTTTTCCATTGCGCACGGCGCACGCATCAGAAATGGGGTTCGGAAGTTGGCACCGGAGGATGGGATCACCTCAGTCCTCAGTCCTCAGCAGTCTATTACGGGTCACCGGGCTTTGGGGCACGGTTTTTTTTTTTGCCTATGGTCCTATGGTGATCTCAGAAGTGAGCTCAGCTGGAGCACTTTTCAGGAGCTATGGTGAGTTGGAGAGCATCTCTGGCCGGATGACCTTGCAGGGGTGCCCAGCTGTTCAGCTCTGGTTTCAGAGCTGGACGTCAGGTCCCAGAAGGGTGAAACAGAACATGGCACCGAAGGCTGGTGTTCAAGGGTGCAAACGGAATGTTTGCTCAATAGCTCAATAGCTTGGCTCGAGGTTCTTTTGTGCCTCCTGGCTGTGAAGAAGACATTTGGGGCGCAAACTGAGTGTTTTTCAGATGCACCATCCATCAGCGTGAGGGTAACCCCCACAGAGGACGGTCTGAAACAGAGGCCACAGAGTAGCAAGGGCAAGCTCTGCATGTTACTATAGTAGCAAGACGCTACTAGGAACAAAGGGCATCGTACGAACGGAGCCGCTTCCAAATCATTGTTGGGGAGAACAATCGAATCCACGAGACTCACATGCGACAGATCAAGGGTCCGGTCGAGTTGGTTCTGAGAAACTGCACCCCCTCAGCTGGACCCAGGGAACTTTGTAACGAACAAGACAGTTATCAAAAAGAGATGAACCATGATGAACATCCATTTCAGGGGGTCTACTCATCTATGTTAGTATACCTTTTAAGGGGGTCAGTATACCTTTGAGGCATCACTAAAGGGGGTCGTTCCTTTTCTCTATGTCCTTGCTTTGCCCTGGCACGGCCTGACGGAACCCCCCGCCACCTCCGCTAGCCCTCCGCCAGCGCCCAGAGTCCGCGGACTCGGCCCCCCGCGGATGTCCGTCGGAGGCGGTGCAACGGGCAGCCCGTGCTTTTGATTGACGAGATGCCGGAAGAGCAGGGTGGCCCCAGGAAGACGACGAAGCCCACGTCTCCCGCGACGGAGACGGGGCGGGGGGAGACGGTGCGGTTGCTGAAAACGAGAGCGAGGGGACGGGGGGGATCCGAGCTAACGGGGATGTCTTTGAGCTTGGGAACCGTCCTGGGAAAGCCTGGGCCAAGTGGATGCCTAGTGGATGCTGAGATCTCATCCAGTCACCGGGGCACCCCGGACCGGGCCGTGGGTGTCGTTCTCTACTTCACCCGGTGGTGCAAACCGGGGGTGCCAACCGGACTCGCCCTTGTTGGTGCCGGTGATGGGCTGCAGCGTGGACATGTCTCACAAATCCAAGACTTCTATGTATAGTGATGTATAGTGAATAAATCGTGTAAATCCATGTAAATCATTGGACATCCGAATCAATCCCATACATATATGGTAAATTGTAAGGAAGTTGACCAAGTGCAATGGGGCACCAACCCAACAGGAAGTCGTACACCGCAGTTTGGCATCCTGCGATCAATCCCCTGCGACCAACCATGACCTCTAAAGAACCGCATCAAACATGGACTTCGGGCGAATTCAGAAACAGACGATGTGAGCTGCCTTTGACGATCCCATTTGTGTTGTTCGAGGACAATGATCGTTCGGACCATCTCCCACTTCCAGATTGGCGAATGAGAATGTATCCCCTACCACCCATCAGGTGTCCTATTTCGGTATCCTGGTATATTTGAGGCGCCGGAAGTCCACACTGAGTGGCCACAAACGCCCCGCCACATCACCTTCCTACCTAGCACTTCCAATGGGTGCCCTGTCTGGATGACCTGCAAGTAGGGCCTGGGAAGTCTGTTGAGTCTATTGGACACCCATTGCATGATCCTACCTAGCTGCCGACCTAGCTTCTCTTCCCACAAAAGATGGTCCTCCATCCTCTCTCCTTCCCATCTCTCTCCTCTCCTCTCCCCTCTCCCCTCTCCCCTCTCCCCCCCCCCCCCACTCCCCCCCCCCCCCCC